TTAAAAGAAAAAGGAATATTATCAGCTGAGCAGTGATTGACTATAATCAGTTGCTACGAGGCGCACTACTGGAAATACGCTTTCGGCTAAAACATTTTGTTTGCACGTCGAAATGCTACTAGTCCCTTCGGCGAATCCGTCAGCATTAGATTTGATGCAAAATTTCCGGATGAGAGTTATAAACTAAAATGGGCATCCATTTCTAAATTGTGTTTGTTGAATCATCCGTTTTCCCAATAGCACGAAAACATCAAAAGGTGCCAGATCATGTAGAAGCAGGCGCTTCTTTATGCACTCAAAACGTGTTACTTGTGCATTCTCCTAACCTCATTCAAAATGTTTAGTGGACACATTATCTTCTCTTTCATACAGATTTCCCATATTTGGCTATCATTGAGGTGGTATGGATTTGTGAAGTCAATCTGTTATTCACGAATCTCTTTAACACAGGCCGGGTTGTGCATTGAATGCAGACTCCATTTTTATCACATAATTTGCGCTTAAACTTCGCAGTCAATTTTTTGTCAGCGGAAATTCATTAATTTAATGGGCTCGAGACTTGATTTGCGTCTGACTACAAGGTCAGCCTAATCAATTTTCCCCAATGAGTCTGGCGGCTTTGTGCTCCATTTCAACTTGGATGTACACTGTTTTTTTATTTGCAGTTTTGGCTCTGGCCGGACGGGCGTATTTCTGGCTATCTCGCTTCTCTTTGAGCGTATGCGCTTCGAGGGCGTGGTTGATATGTTCCAGACAGTGAAGCTACTCCAGTGGCAGCGCCCCAGTCTCGTCAAATCATCTGCAGAATACGCTTTTTGCTACGTAACTGCGCTTGAATACTTGAATTCATTTGACCAATTCAATTTGTAACCACTTCTGCATTCCGATTCTCAGAGTGACCATTCTTCCCCCGCTTTCTCTTGTTGCACATTCTCTTCCTTTTAGACTTAGTTTCTTTGATTCCAGGCTAGCCCAGATGAGGGACACACATGTGAATAGGCAGACGCACAATAACTGAGACAGAGTAGTTCATGTTATGCTTTAAAAAGATGCTTCATATGGCTTCACAATGCCCAACCGTATCAAGTCCAGACAGCCAATAGGATGTGGTCATGCAAACTGACTATTGGTGTATCCCGACTCGCTGACCAATCAGGGCACCGCTTTGAGGCATTCATTCATTCATCAGCCACTCTATTTCCTCCAATCGACAGCCGGTGATTTGGCCAGCTCTCTAGCGCCTAACTTGACCTTCCCAATTGACCGGCTTCCGAGGCCTCTCAGCTGTGGCAACCGAACGGAGTGCGTGCATGCGAGTGGTGACAGGAGACGACAAACAGTAGCCAAGCCATGCTGCTGCCTCGGAGCCCCTCCATGTTCGAGCCCGCCTCACGACCACAGCCTGGACTGGCCAGCCCCAACCAGTTGACCCGCGACAGCAAATCTCAACCCAACGAACGCACCGCCGGCTACGTCGTCTGCACCACCAGCGGCTACTCGGTTCTCGGACCCGATCTGCAGCGTTGGCTGGCGGTCAACTCGCTGTACCGATGGCTGGCCAGCGGTTCCCCCTCACCGCCGGCCGTCGTGAAGGCGACCACTCCCACTTGCCGACACACAGTCGCCGTCGACCGGCAGAAGCTGTCGCGCCGGACGACTCACGTCGACGATTCCGGCGGCCAAACTGAGCGCAGCGTCTGTGATACCCGTCGGACGGGGACTCTTCTGCAGCCACCCAATCCGCGCCGTACGGCCTCTCCCCAGCCCCTCCCCGTCAGGCCGCCCGACGCCCTTGGCGACGGCACCGGACACCGTCGTGGCAGTCGAGAGGCCGATCACATGGCGCCTGACGACCCGTCCAGCTCTCCTCCGTCCCAGCCGGTCTTGGAGCAACCGCCCCGCAGACTAACCAGACTTCTTCTTCGCCTCCTCAACACACAGCGCATCATCATCTAGGCCTGACTACAGTCTGTAGTTCATCGATGAGAACATGCACAAACCAAACGCCCAGTTGTATTCTGTATATAAGTGCCAATGTAAATGGAATCTACGCGAAACCGTGCACATACACCAGATTCACCGAGCCTTCCCATTGTCGCTGGGGCGACAGTCTTTGTTTTTTTTACTCCTCCCACAAGATCATGCCATTACATTTATCAGACAAAAAGCTCCAGCATGTGAGTGATATTGCAGAGATTACGAATCCTTGACAGTTTTATTTAAACATATTCTTTCATTAAATTATACTGACCCGCGAGCGCTAACTTATTATCCGTGGCGGCAATTTGCGCTTGAGACAATTGGTGTACATACGTGGAGGCTTGAAACGAGCGAAAAAGAGCCAAGATAGTCACGAGCCCTACTACAAAATGTCTGCGATAATTAAGAAACTATTTTATGCACCAGCCCTTTGCGAGGATATGTCAAGTACTCTCTGCCCCATACTCGATTTGGCGACGTAGCAATGTTTTCTCTTTGCCCCTTGTGGCAATATTACATGCTGGGCTCAGATGACAATCATCCGGAAAGCACACGTCCATGCATACAATCTTGCATGCAATAATTGCTTTTCTGTATCAGTCCTTCTATTGCTTGCCCAGGGGACATTGCACTACCGGGGTGCTCCATACAGCTGATCCAGATAAATTTATTTACGAATGCTCTTTTGAATTAGCATTTTCCTTGCCCCGAAGATGAAGAGAGAATACAATTTTTATGTCTCATTCCCTTCTTAACAGTCACGATGTCTGCACAAGAGCATCGGGTTCCTTCAATATTTCATTTGAGATAATTGCGAAAAATCTTAACATAAATTGGGTTAAACGCGGTTTACACTAATGCATTCGGAGAGCCTTCAATGCTGGTTTCGAGGAAACATAAGAACTTGTTGGAACAATTTGACGAAAACCGTGTTGAGGTTTTTGCGCGCATTAACTTTACATGGCGACAGGTTTCCGGTGACCTTTTTCTTCGAGATCTGGTACTTGAGCGACTATATTGAATGCATTGAAAATCGCCTTCTAACAAATGTTCAGTCGGCTCTCGCTTTCTGAGAATAAAATTTGGGCTTCGAGGAATCTCTTGTTTCATAATTGTTGAGCTTACTTCCCTTTCGAGTCAAAATTTTGGGTACTTTTATGTCACGCTTTCTCTCTCGCATTGAGACCAAAAACAAAAAAGGCTCATCAACTAAACCAGACGACTGTCCGACCTTGCACAATCGGAGTGATGGTTATGACGTAAATGTAGAAAGGGGAAGGTAGGGCTCTTCAAACCTTGATGGCCAAAAACAGACGTTCCTTTTCGCTGTCCTATTTACTTTGAGCCATCACTGCGGGTTTCGTGCATAAGCAAACACAAACAGGAGCATATACATACAGAGACAGACACATTCACAGGCTTTGAAGTTGACATATGACCGTAACTAATCAAGTCACTGTATACTTGATCAAAGGCCAGATGAAGAGTATATATACCACTTTTTAGGGATTTGCCGGTGAGTTTTGGTGACTCGTTAGCTTGAATTTGGTTGTGACGATGTTACCTCGCTCTGAGGATGTTCGTCGTATGATGGACGAAAGCTTAGCACCTTTTTACCGAAATCGAATGAGATTGCCTCGGAAACAGCGTCATCATTAATCTTTCAGTAAGGCCAAGCGGCAGCTGGTCGGGAGGAATCCGCCGACGTCTTCTCGTGGAACCGACCTTCGAATCTCTTCACTCAACAATTTCACTCGAAATGGAAGTAAGCTCAACAATTTCGTTTTCTGCTTTGGGCTACAGTGTCCATGAGGCTCATTCTAGAAGCAGAGGCTGCAACATCTTGGTCTTCATATCTCATTTAAAAAAGCCCAGCTTTACCTGCAACATGTTGCATGCTGCCCAATTTCGTTTCCCTCAGGCGTTTAGTAACCATGACTACCTCTTTACTTCACATGAGCTAAGCTGCTAA